TTTTTTTTTTTTTTTTTTTTTTTTTTTTTTGCGGTACGTGGGCCTGTCACTGTTGTGGCCTCTCCCGTTGCGGAGCACAGGCTCCGGACGCGCAGGCTCAGCGGCCATGGCTCACGGGCCCAGCCGCTCCGCGGCATGTGGGATCTTCCTGGATTGGGGCACGAACCCGTGTCCCCTGCATCGGCAGGCAGACTCTCAACCACTGCGCCACCAGGGAAGCCCTGTTTCGTTTTTTTTTTTAGTTCCATCTGGTTGTTGTTTAAATTACATTTAGGCCTTTATAAACAACCTTTTTTTGCCTAGTAGCATTTATAAATTAATATTTGAAATGCTGTATATATAATATACATTTTAAAATTTAGCTGTAGCATATGCTAGAATATAGGTCCATAATTATTTTAAAAAGAGCAAGTCATGGTATTGAAGATTAATTTGAAGTATTTTAATAAAAACTTTTCCTCACAGTATGAGGATATGTGTCTATTGTATCATACATAATTTCTGATATGTCCATGTAATCTAAACAACTTATTTTGGCTCTAATGATTAGATATGTTAATGTGTTTATGAATCACATAATTTTCTCTTTGTTTTCACTTTCTTCCCTTTCGGACAAAAAGAGAAAACCCCGTTACTTAACATGATTGTTTGTTAGTGGTTATGAGAATAATCAGATGAGATTCACATAAAAGAAAACATGCACATGAGTTAGTTTCATCTCTTTGTTTTCAATGAAATGGAACTAAAATGTAATTCTGAAACGTCTTAAGTTGTCTTTAATTGAAATAATATATTAGGACCATTACATTAAATTGTTTTCTGTTAGCAGAGAGAAAAGAACCTTCTTGGTTAATTTTATATGACATTTCATTCATCTAGTAAAAAGTATCTTAGATGGAGACTGTATTTTCTACATGCCAAATCTTGATGTACAATATTATATAACATCATATTATAGATTTACTTTGGAATCAAAGTTGTTTTCACATATGAATTCTACCAGTATCTCAGTCTTTTTCCTGCTAAAAAGTTGACTCAGTATTAGATTTATACTGTTTAAAAAATAGAACATCACATAGTTGCTACTTCTTAATATTTCACATATTTTAAGTTATATGCATTGAGGAGAGGGGAAAAATAAATATTGTTAATAAAAGTATAATTGTATCCTCATGTGAAACAAACTCTTTAATTATTTACCTATAGCTTTATTCTCACCATGCTGGCTTTGGGGAATCTACTGATTCACTCAATCTAATACCAATTTTCTAACTAAAATTTAAGATCGTATAAAAATCAGACTGAATTTCTGTGACAGTGCACTGCTACATATAAGCTTGTTAGAGAATAAAGAATTTAATGTGAATTAACAAAACATGTATTACTATTTAGAATCCAAATACTGATGATGTGAAGTCATACATTTTACCTTTCATTGTATAGACATTGAAAACTGGCCTGACAATGGTTGGGAAGGTGGTGACTCAGCTGACAGGCACGCTGCCTTCAGGTGTGACAGAAGATGATGTCGCCATCCATAGTAATTCAAGGCGGAGTCCTCTGGTCCCAGGCATCATCACAGTAATCGACACTGAGACAGTTGGAGAGGGCCAGGTAAGAACATGTGATGCATGTAATGTTCATTTTGTGCAGAGGATGGAGTAACTAACAATATCATTTGGGATCAAGATCATACAAAATGTATTTGGAGATGTGTTAATTTGGAATTGTAGAAAATTAAGGTTATCTCAGGTTAGAATTTTGTTTTTTTCAAAAAATGATGAGTAATTATTGTACAACACAGGGAATATAGCCAATATTTTATAAAAACTATAAATGGTGTAGACCCTTTTAAAAAATGATGAGTAACATGTTAAAACCTATTATTTCAGACATTGTTAATGTATCAAACCTGAAGGTAAAATTGAGGTTCTATAGAATTCTCTTGCTATCTCTTCATCAGGACATTTGTTCCATAAATAAATAATTATATATCTCATTTATACTGTTTAGTACTGTTTCTTTTTTTTAATGACACTTGTTATAACTTAGACTAATTATGACTAATTATGATGGTAATAAATGACAATAATATTAATAAATTGTATTACAAATTTTATTACAGATACCTCCTTATAAATATGGAAAAATATAAAAAAATCTCAAAAAATGTATTAGAATATATAAATGGTAATAACTTATTATAAGATCTTATATCTTCACATAAAATAGATTTTTACAGCCTATGTTCAGAAACATTTAGGAGTGATTATAAACATGGAGAAATACGTTATGCTTATGTAAGTCTTGCTAGAAAGAAACCAGTTGGGTTTTGTTTTTCTCCCTCATACAGTCATAGACAGTATTTTCCTTTGAATCATGGTCATGAATTTTAAAATACATTTCTGAAAGGAAGGTAATTTTCATGGTTTGTGATCCTTGCTATAAATACACAATGTAAACCTGATTACTAGAATGAGATAGGAGTAGAGCAAGATTTGGAAATAGAAATTATTTTAATTTTATATAGAATTTATATTTAATTCCATTTTCAGAACATAATTATGTGAGCCATTAAAATATTAACCCTAAATATTGCATGTTCTTTTGAGAAAATCTGCTTCCAGTATATGTGGTTCTACATCTTGATGAAAGATTACATTTGGCTGGTACTCATATACTAATTCCTATAGTAAGATCAAGTGGCATTTCAAAAAAATATGGACTGTGCTGCAATTAAAACACCCCCAAAAATCTTTGAATTTCTGGGTTATTGAATCTGGCTATTATATTTTATTTAAAATCTGAATAATACAATTCTCTGCCTTTCCCATCTTAACTTTGTGGTTAATCAGATATGTTACAGACTTGTATTCCTGTTTAAAACTCATTTTAATGAAGTGCTAGCAAACTTTTCAGTTGACTGTAATGACTTTTTTTTTTAAGTTGTGTTAATTAGCTCAAGTTGATAGACACATACAGATGTTCTCTTTTTAAATTGGAATTCAATATATAAACCCTTAGTGTTTTATGAGTGTTAAAGTAAAAAATATTTTCTTTTGTCCTTCGATTCTTAATTAATTCACCTCCAAGGCCACCCACATTTACTAAGTAGTAACAACCCTCCTCAACACTGTCTAGTTTGGTGAGTGGATTGAAATCTGTTAAGAATCTAGCATTTGTTGACAGACTGATTTGTGGTAATTTAAAAGTTGAAAATGTTATCTCATTATTTTTGATGAAATAGAGCTATAACTCATTAATTTATGTAATGAGTAAAAAGAAAAATTTAATTTATACGAAAAGCATAGCATTTGGTCTTGTGTTTTCACATGTGGTTTCTTTGGGGTTTTTTTTCCCCTAGTTCTTTGTTAACTTTTTATAACTTTAAATTGGAATTCTCACATTTGGAATATGGAAGTGAACAGTAGATTGTACAAAAGTTCATTTTTCTGTATAAGTGCATTGTTAACCCTGGAAACAAGTAAAGTTGTTCATTAGGAAATAAGAATCATAGAAATGTTAGCTTTTAAAAGTTAAAAAAGTGAAAGTGTTGCTCAACCTGAAAAGTTTTATCTTTTCTATTATTTGTTGGGAGCATAATCTCTTTTCATTCCTACTTATAACATATTCTGCAGTTTTGATTGATTTAAAAATTCTATTAAAAGACAGGAAATAAATAATAAGTTGCTATGTGCATTTTTAAGGAATTATAAATATTTTTTTAAGCAATAAGATTTCCTCAATATAATACTGTCTTCTTTTATTAATGTGAGTCTGTTTTTTGTCAGGAAGACATTTTTGTCTCTAATAAATAGTTCAGTTGAAGTACAAAGCTGTTTTTAGGTTATGCTGGATTGTATTAGAAAGACTGCAGTGGTTAATGTCATGGATTTATCACTTTTAGCCCTTTCCCACTGATGTTTGACCTTAGCTGTAGTGTTTCTTCTTGTCCCTATACATATCAGGAACTAAAGCTGACATTATGTGCACTTTTGCTGTTTAAAGCCATTGAGCCTTTAATAAATATATTTTCATGTTTACAGGGATAGTGTATAAAATTTGATTCACCATCTTTCTGATGCTGAATTGATTAGTTTGATTTGATGGTGACAGGATCACTGTATGGTACCTGCATTAAAGGGGAATGTATTTGCTTGACTTTGTCCATTTTTATCTGTGTTACTTTCATGTTTTATTTAAAAGCATTTCGTGGCTAGGATAAGTTAAGCGATAAAATTTGCCTTTATAAATTTATATAATTTTAGTTTAACAAGGTGGCAAAGTCTCTAATCAAAGAAAAACGCTCCAGAATGATAACATAAACTAGAGCTATTTCTTGCCCTGGTTGCAAATACAAGTGTTATTCATAGTAATTTGATGGTTCCTATGGTGTTTGTCTATCTTTTTGTTCATATGATAAAGCCTTATCCACCTTGTATCCACCTTGCTTTGCTTTGTTTTAACAAACGCAAGTTGTTGCTACATATACTTGGGGGTTTAGCCTGTTTAGTTAAGTAGTGAGTAAAAATTAAATGTCTCAGGACAACTGTATTGGGATATCGCTGGTATTGATTTGATATTGATATTTTAGGCAAGATGATGATGCAGTGGAGAGAATCTCTACAAAAGTATCTGATTGTTATATTTGTGAAGTTCATAAAGAGAACATTCGAAGAATCCTATATAGTGGCATGAGGTTTTGGTATTCACCAAGATTAATGAGCCTTTTTGCTGGATGGCTTCTGTATTAGTACCATCAAGTAGAGTACTCAGTGCTAATTGTATTGGAAGGAGAGGTATAGGGTTATAATATATGAAAGGAAAGGGAATCATAAGATTGAGTTAAAATAGAGAAGTGGGCAAAGGACAAAATATTTCAGTGAAAAAATAAAATACTTACAAATGGTGTAAAATCTTTAGACTTGACTTGTTATGAGAGAAAGACAAAACTACCCTAAGATACCACTTGTCACCTATCAGCATGAAAGAAATCAAAAAGCTTGCAGTATACTCTACATTTTTTTAATACTCTTTTAAAAGAATATATTTATTTATTTGGCTGTGCCTGGCATGCGGGATCTTTTTAGTTGTGGCATGTGGGATCTTTTATTAGTTGCGGCATGCAGGATCTTGTTTTAGTTGTGGCACACGGGATCTTTAGTTGCAGCATGTGGGATCTAGTTCCCTGACCAGGGATCAAACCCAGCCCCCCCTGCATTGGGAGCGTGGAGTCTTAGCCATTGGATCACTGGGGAAGTCCCTGCTCTACATTTTTCACTTTTAATTTTGAAATAATTGTAGACTCACAGTAAGTTGAAGATAGTTTCCCCAAACTGTGACATCTTATATAACTGTCGTAAAATATCAAAACCAGGATATTGACAATGACGCTTTACTGTTAACTAGGCTACAGACCATATTCAGCTCTCACCATTTGTTTTACTTGCATTCATTTGTGTGTGTATCCAGAATATTGAAAGAACTCCTATAACTGAATAATAAAAAGATAAATAGCCTTATTTTAAAATGAGCAAAGGATTTGAATAGCCATCTTTCCAAATATGATATGCCAGTGGCCAGTAAGCAGAAATGAGAGCCCTGGTACACTGCTGGTGGGAACATAAAATTGTACAGCCGCTTCGGAAAGGAGTTATTACCATTTGACTCAGCAATTTGTCTCTGAAGAGATTTGCTCTTAGGAGATATATTACCAAAAGAAATGAAAATATATTTTCATGTAAAAACTTGTACATGAATGTTCGTAGCAGCATAATTTGTAATAGCCAAAAAATAGGAGCAGCCCAAATGTACATCAACTGATTGATGGATGGTTAAATAAAATGTGGTATATACATACAGTGTAATATTATTTAGCAATAAGAAGAAGTGAAGTAGTGATTCATGCTACAAAATGAATGAACCTTGAAAATCTTACGCTTAGTGGAAGAAGCCAGTCGCAAATGAATACATATTGTATGAATCTATTTATATGAAATGTCCAGAATAGGGAAATCTACATAGAGAGGAAATAGATTGGTTGCCTAGGGCTTGGAGTTTGGAGGGAATCAGGTGGGGAGTGACTGTTAATGGTTATGAAGTTTCTTTTGGGTGATGAAAGTGTTCTAAATTTGATTGTCATAATGGTTGCACAACTCTGTATATATACCATATTTCCTAAAGCAATCTATCAGTTATTTAGCAGACTTAGTTTAACACACTTTCCTGGAGACTGCTCCTATAAGTTTCTTCTCTTTTTCTTGTTTTCCTTACCTAACATTTTTGAAAGTCAAATGGAAGAATGGAAAAGAGAGATGAGAGAAATAATTTATAACCCATGTTTCCCCCACTTGTGGTAAAATATATATAACATAAAATTTGCCATTCAGCCATTTTTAAGTTTACAATTCAGTGATATTAAGTACATTCACAATGTTGTACAACCATTGCCATTATCCATGTCCAGAACTTTTCATCATCTGTACCCATTAAACAGTAACTCCCCATCCCCCTGTTCTCACACTCCCTGTTGACCACCATTCTAATTTCTGTCTCCAATAGATTGCCCTTCCTTAAAAAGACATACAGTATAAACTGTTGAAAAGGATGTGGAG